CCAGCATTAAGCAATTGGTAAATAAATATTTTAACAAAAATTCCCTAAACAGTGTAAAATTTTGGAGAAAAATTTTCACGAAAATTAATTGTCACGCACAACGAGTCTGTGTGGAAAATGTCAGCTCGATTGGATCACGGGAAGTTGGTTAAAAAACGACCGAAATATTTGCACGGTCGTAAGCAAGCAAGCAAGCACGCAAGCACGCAAGCACGCAAGCAAGCAAGCAAGCGAACTTAATATAAAGGATTTAAAACGGTAACGTGCCGTGAATTTAATAACGAAACGCAAGATGGCAAGCAGTGTGTCTCAAGCAGACGTTTTCAAGTCGGTACAGGACACGCATCGAGAAACATGGACAATGACGAATTGGAACAAGAGCGAGAAAAGTGACGCAATGAAGGATAGGAAGAAGAATGCACGTTATGTTCGCCACCTCGAGATTAATACTCACGACGGCATTACGATGCCAAACAATGCGGTGTTAATCCCTGGCTGTTCTGTCGGAACAAACGGCACTAACACATGAATAGCAAATACTGCATGACATTATGAGATCTCTTTTACCAGTGGCAAAATATAATAGTAGGTTTTTACCCTTTTAAACTGGTACAAAACTGACATGTTCACGTATATACTGTATATACTGACTACGTATTTAACAATTAAGGGGTACTATACTCTGTATTGTTATAATTGGTATGTAGATAGTCTATGGACTGATATGACTATACCAGTGGTATTGTGTCTCATAACAATTAAAACCCCAATACCCAGTTGTTCAATTAAGCTTTACAATGCGGGGTTAAGATTTGACCAAATACATTTTTTTTACCATATCATTTGTATTGTTTCCCATATTTTTCTGTATGATGTTGTACCGTTTTGTTTGCTGCATATCATTGTCCATTAACAGCCACGTTCGATTTGCCACACGATGAATGATTCCCAACGTCGTCCCCATCTCTCAGCGTCTTGCGATGTCACGATACATCTCGCTGCTGCACGCGAGATAAGTTCCATCCCTCCATCGCTGCGGCTGATCGTCATTTTGGGCACGTTCCATCCTCTAACTGCCATTCTGTTACCAGTCTCGTCCAATGGCCATCAAACATTCTAGGAACATGCCCCACTAATTGTAAGTGATCTTCATTTTGAAGCTTTCGTGACTGCAGGAATTATTCTTTGGTTCTTTCGGTAAAGTCACGTAGAAAGATAAAATAATAAATTAAATAATAGCATATTTAATTTATAAAGATAAAATAATAAATAAAATAACAAATTTAATAATAGCATATTTAATTTATTACTTTATACGTGACTTCACCGAAAGAACCAAAGAATAATTGTAAGTGATTTCGTTGCCAGTTACATGCTTTAATTTGTGTTTGTTCTCCAATCAATGTGTTTCTGTTTCTCTCAGGGTAATTCCCAGCATGTACCAATCCATACATCTTGGTATTCTACTCATCTTCTGTTACATTTACTTTATAAGTAAGCATATTTCACATAAATGGTAGCTTTTGGTGCACTGATTTTCAACCACACTATGCAGCCTTCATTGTAAAGGTATTTCAATCCTTTATTGGATTTCATTTCCACTGTATTTTTGTTATATAAAAGATGTCATTCGAACATCTGAAATTGTTATTTGATTCTCCATTCATGTGTATTCTTTCATCTCTCCAGTCCATTATTTGTAAAATATTTTCGAATTCGGCTGCAAGCCTCTGGCTAGTATTTTGTTACTTTTAAAGGAATTGTCAATGTAGCCAGCTGTTCCATCTACAGTGTATATACATGGTTTGATAAAAATTTTTTATATTTTTACGAAGGCCTTAGTTTCTGTGAGCTTTGAAAATTCCCTAACTTTCCACTGAATCCAATGGCTTTTATACAATTGGCACAAATTGATCAATGCAATGCTGGATCAGTGCTTCCCATAGCTACAATCCCCTCGCACGACCACTATGCAACAACAACCCTGATTTCGTCCCTCCATCTCTCTTCGTGGACATCTTCCCGGATGCATTCCATCACTCTTGGCTGCCTCTTGACCATCAGACACCATTGTCTGCCCAAGCCAACCTACCTTTCTTAACTGTTTCAATTATCTATTCTACTAATCACATACCTGCATTTCCCATAAATATGCTAAATGCCTCTTGATATGAATATTATTTTGTCAAGGCGCTCTTTTCCCCCCGTCCAACCCAGCTTATATATATGCTCCAAGCACGTGTGCTGTTTCATTCAGACGCTGTCGCCTCGACAGACCTGGTTTTCACCTGAGGACGGCTGCTTGCGTTGTGGCCGAAACGTCGTGAGAATTGTTTTATTATTTTTTATTTTTATTATTTTATTACTTCCCTTCTACGTGACTTTACCGAAAGAACCAAGAAGATGTTTCAATTATGTCATTAACCTGCACGTGTTCGTAAATGCATGTGTCCCTCCCTCTGTCTCTCAATGTAAGTTCAAGAATGAATATCTCCGTGCTCGATTGCCAGTCCGATTTGAAGGACGAGCACATTCCACACGCTGCGATATGTGGGTACACGTGCGAATTAGCACTAGAAAGGTGCAGGTGGATGTGGGGGTGACAGAGGGAGTGTGGTTTGCTGAGTGGTCGTGTAGCCATTAGCGCGCTGTGCTGCGAACCCGGCGACCAAGTTCCATTCCCGCTCACGGCCAACACCGGTGACGATTATCTGGACCAATACTGGGCCTCCCCTATGTCGACTCAGCCTCAAATTAGTACCTGGTGCGGTGTGTAAATTTTGACACTGGGGGAGACAAAGGCGGCCGGGCGTAGTGTTGGCCATCCACCCCCTCGTGCGCCGTGCCGGCCTTCATAGGTGCTAACTCGCGAACAGCACTTGCCCCAACAGTCTGGTAATGCCAGACGGGGGGATCTTTGTCCTTGTGATTTGAGAGTCAATGTGGTATTTGCAAACACTTGTTTCATTTCTGATTCAACCGCATTAATTGATCAAACCAAACAGTTCTCGTTGAAACCTTCTGCAGCCAGGCCACCAAGATTATATGGCTTGCCAAAGATACATAAAGAACATACACATCTTCGTCCCATTGTCTCTACTATCAACTCCCCCACCTACAAACTGGCTCGTTTTTTGTCTGAAATCCTGCGGCCTTTCACTGGAAAAACCACCTCTGCGGTACTAAACTCTACTGACCTGGTATCGACAATCAAGGGGATTTCCCTGTCCCCAGACGACCTGTTTGTCAGTTTTGATGTGGTTTCCTTATTCACCAAAGTTACTGTACCTGACACCATCGCAATCATTGAAGACTTGGTTCATCAAGGACTGAATACTGGGGTACCCCCCCTGGTGAGACACTGCTTAACCAATACATACTTCAAGTGAGAATTATTTTATTATGTTTTATTTTTATTATTTTATTATTTCCATTCTACGTGACTTTACCGAAAGAACCAAGAAGATGAATCCCTGCAGTCACGAAAGCTTTAAATCGAAACTTGTTTCGTTGTGTGTGTAAAGGTGGTGCTGACCAACTTGCTAACAGCACTTGAGCCGATACGTCTGAAAGTCTATCCAGGGGCATAGTAGTTGCCTTTGGGGCCGTTCATAAATGACGTCACGCACCTAGGGAGGGGGGGGGTCCGACATTTGTGACGATGTGTGACGAGGGGGGGGGTGGTGAGAAATGTGACGTCACATCAAAATGCGCAACTTTAAATAAATATAGACAACACGTTCTACTGAATAAAATAGACTTTTTTTAATAAATGTTTCTACTACAACATCAGAGTGCGGCGCCACATTAAATACGCACTGCAATGACAATAGTTTAAAGCGATTTGAAGCATGTTTTATTTTTTTCGGGGGGGGGGGGGCAGAGCTTTGTGACGTCAAATTTGAGGGGGGGGGGTCTGACTTTTTGTGACGCCGTGTGACGAGGGGGGGGGGGTCAAAAATCGTCCAAAATCGCGTGACGTCATTTATGGACGGCCCCTTTGTTGTTATTGTTGGACTCTGAAGTTCAGCGTGGTCGTTTGCGTAACAAACATAAAAAAATAAGAACACTTTCGAGTGAATTTGCAACGAGACTGCCACCTACTGGAATGAATCTCGCCCCTGGCAGTTTCGTCCTTCACGTTATTCTCAGGCAGAGCAACGTCGCAAACTTCACAACTTCCCACACACGCAAATGTGTCAAAAAAAACAAGCACACGCACACATATATAGCGTTTGTGTGTGCATTGCAAAAAAAGGAAATCGACATTTTGTCAAAGACTTTTCTCGTGGCTTTTGCATATGTACACAAATTCTGCGTGATTTTGTTTGTTGACAAATCGTTGCTTTTGTTGTTGTTGTTTGCAACTTGTGTTTTGTCCGGCTAACAAATGATTCTGTCAGGACGGTGGCGTTTTGTGTTTTCTCGGGTCATTTACGGATCTCAACATTGAACCCCAGCCTTCGGGAAAGACCCAAACAACCCTCACACGAGCTCACTAACACCCCAACCCACGCACCTCGCTCACCAGGACATCTGCCCACAGACCAAAATTAACGATGCACTTACACTCGTGTTTCCATTCAAATGTTGTATTCCGACAGCTGTAAGTGGAAATGAATTATATACAAAACAACCAGTTTCATCTTCTTGGTTCTTTCGGTAAACTCACGTGACTTTACCGAAAGAACCAAGAAGATGAATCCCTGCAGTCACGAAAGCTTTAAATCGAAATATAACAACCAGTTTTTTTTCGTGTTTGCGTGCGTGCGTGCGTTTGTTTTAAACCTTCCTAAAGTCTCGTCTAGGCATACGGGGAGATACAAAGGCTGTCGGTCCTGCTTGCCAAGTCTCTATCCTCCTACTCGATCTCGGATAGTTCCCGTCCGCTGGGGCGGTGTGGAGGGAGTTACTTCCCTATTTGTTGTATCAGTAGCGCGCGTTGTGTGTGTGTCGGCGTTGTGCAAGCGGTGGCAATGCGGAACCAACGTCAACTGGACGTCATTACCACCCCTCCTCTCTCTGTGTGTTGCGTGTCTCTCTCTCTCTCTGTGTCTCTCTGTGTGTTTCTCTCGTGTGTGTTTGTCGGTGTGTGTCTATGACGATCTTCGCGTTTTGAGTCCACCAGCTGCTGTGATTAGTCAGTCGGGTTTACTTACTCTCTGTGTGTGTGTGTCTGTGTGTGTGTGTGTCTCCACGTGTTAATCGGCAGAGGCTTCGTCAAGGGCTTCTCGCCCGTGGCAACTTTGCGAGGTACAGTGCTGTGTGGGGCGCAGTTGCACACGGACGCAAGTTTCACCACAACACCACCACCATCTCAATACCACCACAACACCACCATCATCATCACCATCACAACACCACCACCACCACAACACCACCACCATCTCAATACCACCACAACACCACCATCATCATCACCATCACAACACCACCACCACCACAACACCACCACCACAACACCTTCACACCACCACACCACCACCACAACGCCGCCACCACAACACCACCGCCACACCATCACACCACCACCACACCACCACCAACACACCACCACTACACCACCACACCACCATCTCCACACCACCACCACCACACCACCACCACCGCCGCCGCGAGTAAGCCGTGACAAGGCTGCCCGGTGCAGAGTGATGCTTAGCGAGCACCCATTGAAGGTGCTTGGACACGGAGGCGCGGTGGGAAAACACCACGCCCGGCCGCCTTTGTCTCTCCCCTAACCCCTAACCCACCCCCCTCTCGTTACTTAAGGCTGCTCGTTTGTGGCTGAGTCGACCTAGGGCCGGTTGGTCACTGCATTATTATCGGTCGTGAGCCCCCGGGCAATGGGGCGGTCCATAAATGACGTCACGCACCTAGGGGGGGGGGGGGTGAGAAATGTGACGTCACAACAAAATACGCAACTTTAAATACATAAGACAACACGTTCTACTTAATTAAATATACTTTTTAATAAATGTTTTCTCCTACAGCATCAGAGTGCAGCGCCACATTAAATACGCACTACAATGACAATAGTTTAAAGCGATTTGAAGCATGTTTTTTTTTTGGGGGGGGGGGGCAGAGCTTTGTGACGTCATATTTGAGGGGGGGGTCTGACTTTTTGTGACATCGTGTGACGAGGGGGGGTCAAAATCGTCAAAAATCGCGTGACGTCATTTATGGACGGCCCCTATGGTCACGCCACTGCTCAGTGTGTGTGTCTCCCCAGGTTAACCGCCCTCCAAGGACAAAGGTCCCCCGTATAGCCTGGGGCAAGTGCTGTTAGCAAGCTCCTATGAAGGTCCGGCACGGCACGGCACACGAGGGGGGGGGGGTGGCCAGCACCACGCCCGGCCGCCTTTGTCTCCCCAGTGGCGATGTTCACACATCGCGCCATGTACTCATTTGAGGCTGAGTCGACCTAGGGGAGGCACGGGACCGGTTCGGATAATCGTCACTTTGGTTAGCCGTAGCGCAGCGCGCTAACCATTGCACTACAGTTCCCACCACACACTTCACAAAACTACTCACACACACATCACCACACACACAACCACTCACACACAAAACCACACACACAATCACTCAACAACAACAACCGCCATTCACCACTAAGTGGCGGTGACGTCACCACGACGCTTGTGCCAGGCCATGTGCACCTTGAGGCCACGTGAAGTGTCGAACGCCCGCTGGCAGGAGGTCACGGGGCAGACCCAGCAGGTGCCACCGGTCGACTGACTGAGATAACCGAGATGACTGGCTGATGCACCACCTGTGCCCCCTACTGTGCAAACTTGCTGTGCTTTAGCCACCCGGCGCTCCGCTCGTTGTTGTGAGCGTCGCTCCTCCGCCCTCCGTTGTTGCTGGAGGGCGACTGCCTCCAACTGCCCAGTAGCGTCCTTCACGAGCCTCCTCCACTGAGGCCGATCTTGACACCGCTGGTACCAGTCATCAGCAAGTCCACTCAGCTCCACGTCTGCCTGTACCACATCACTCCATCTCTTCTTTAGCCCGTGTCACTCACCCACTCATTCACTCACTCACCCACTCACTCAGCTCCACGTCTGCCTGTACCACATCACTCCATCTCTTCTCTAGCCCGTGCCACGCCCGTTTAGCCCCCTCGATCTGGCCGAACAAAAGCTGTTTGGGCATGCAGTGAAGAGCGTCGAGAAAGAGACGCTGCTGCTTTCGCTCTCGACGCAGCTGCGAACTGTCGGCCTGTCCTGGACATGCGCATACAGCGGAAGAGCAAAGCAGCACCATCGGCGCACACTCTGCGCCAATCGACTCGGCATCGATAGCAGTCGTTGGGCGGTCGTAGATACGAGTTTTGGTTGTTATTGTGGGAGGTCTTGCTATAAGAAAGGTCGTAGAAGCAGGGAGTGTGCAAGTTGAGCCGTCGTAAGTCAGGGGTCATCTGTAAGTAACCAATGTTAGCCATATACGTAATTTGGAAGACCTTAGGTGGTACCAACTTGTGCACTGGGCCCATGGACTAACTGCAACTTCTTCTTGGTTCTTTCGGTAAAGTCACGTAGAATGGAAATGATAAAATAATAAAAATAAAACAATGATAAAATAAAATAAACAATTTTTATTATGTTTTATTTTTATTATTTCCATTCTACGTGACTTTACCGAAAGAACCAAGAATATGAATCCCTGCAGTCACGAAAGCTTTGAATCGAAATTTAACTTCAACTTTGCAACATATAATGATTATAATGTGGTGACATGGCCCAGGTTCGTGGTTCGAGCCCACGGCTGTCCTGGATAATACTGTGGGTGTGGACTGAAACGTACATTTTTCTTGCCGTCTATTTCACATTGGACGAAATAGAGTAGGCCACGTTTGCCAGTGTCAACAGTGGTCCAGAAGGCCTACGATCTAAAAATTCATCCTCTTGGTTCTTTTGCTAAAGTCACGTAGAATGGAAATAATAAAAAATAAAACATAATAAAATAATTCTCACGACGTTTCGGCCACAACGCAAGCAGCCGTCCTCGGGTGGAGAACAGGTCTGTCGACAGAATTATTTTATTATGTTTTATTTTTTATTATTTTATTATTTCCATTCTACGTGACTTTACCGAAAGAACCAAGAAGATGAATCCCTGCAGTCACGAAAGCTTTAAATCGAGATCTAAAATTTTTTTCATTTTTCACGTACAGAGACAACTATTGTCCGTTTATGATTATGTTATGCGAACTCATTTGTCTACGTTGAATCACCCACCCAGGTCTGGGAGACACCACAAGATCAGAAAGCCCCTTTGCGGCGTAGAGAAAGGAACCGTTGAGGGACCACCAGCGAGATGTCATACGGTGCCATCGGGGATGGCAAAGATGCCCTGCTCGATCCGCATGGCCAGGGTGAGTGGTATTAGGCGGGGGGGGGGGGGGGTGACCCGAGAGTACTCTACACAGATATGGAGGCCAAAGCAAGAGTCCAACCAAGACTTTGGTCATCGTCGTGCCAGCTATGTGCAGCTTGCCTGAGCCCAAGAGATTAAAAGTCACTTGTTACGTAATTTTTTTGACAATTTCAAAAAAAAAAAATCTTTGTCGATTTGCAGTGGAGGGTCAAGATAACCCTTGTAAAGGTGATCCAATATGCACAAAACTTTATTGTAAAGTTGCAAGGACTTCATAGAAAATGGGACAAATTTAGCAAAGGCGTATCCAAAGTTGCCAATTAAAATTATAACTTAACAGTCGGGTCTGGGATTGTCCATGTTTTGGTTTTATCTGGGCCACTCCCACCCCACCCCCAACCCCTATTAATTGTGCCATGGTGGCTAGATGTCAAATACCTCGCCTTAATGCAGGAGGTCGTGGGTTCGATCCCGACCCTGATACCTGCATATTTGAAGTTTGCACGTTTTCCCCGTGGTCGTGGGAATTTTTCTCCAGGCCCTCCGGTTTTTCCCTCCACATTTAGAAATATACGTTTAGAGTATTTTGCTCCTACACATTTCCACATGATAAGTCACTTTGTTGAGCTATAAACTGTGGCCAGGTCACTTCTGAAAAAGAGCTAAATAGCTCAGTGGGCCTTACCTGGTAAAATAAAATATGTATATAGTTTACAATTTCACTGACTTTTATTCCCATAATTATCAAATCGATCTCTTTGTAGTTACTCATGTCTCCTTTGTTAATAGGCCACTGATCTCAATGGGCTCCCACATGTCCCTAAATTAAAGTCTTTGTTTTAAAAATCCTTGACGCTTGTACGCTGCGGGAGCGATAGTGGCTCGCGCCGTGAGACCCTGCCCATGTCGCTGTTGTCAAATCTGTGATTTGCAGAGTCCCAAGCAGAGGAGTTCCGGGAGCTCTCCCAAGAGATCAGCAAGAACATCTTCCAGATTAATGGAAGTGGTGAGTGGGACTGCCCCAGTACACCCAGCACCCAGGCACAAACGCATTTGCACACCATTGAGAACACATACGTGTCCCTTGAAACTTCACCAATATCAAGAGTGTTTCATTAGGAGGGGGGGGGGGTTAGTGTGTGTGGGTTGTCGCCATTGACATCACTGTACATTCTGGAGAGAGAATTTACCAAAGATAACAGTCATGGGCTCTGTATATTTAACAACACACAACGGTGTGCTCACAAATGGCAGGAATGCATTAACTCCCATGCCTTGCGTTCGCCTGATATGACCACCACATTGGATGTACAATGCGGGCTTATTGTCAAACTCCGTGAGACCCCGAAGGGTTTAGGAATTGTTACAAATATGCATGACCCACAAGCCCAGTAAGACTGGATTTGCAGGCTTAAAGTTGTGTAAGTCGATGAGATGAGCGCGTTTCTTTAATTGAAGATGTACCATCCCACCCTTATCACCCTCCCACAGTGTCCGCGCTGGATAAACAGCTGCAGAAGCTGGGAGCAACGTCGGACAGCAGTGACCTGCGGCAGCAGCTGTAAGGAGCACCTCCATCATTAGCGTGTGGGTTGTAAGTGTTTGGGATGGATTTTTACCTAATTGGGTAAAACTCCGCTGTGACATTGTTCCTTGGACAGGCGTAGTGCCTCGGTGGTAGCCTTGCAGCTGTAAATCACGGCACGAATACCGAATAAGCTCATTTATCACTGCGATTGTTCAACTGCTCAGTCTTTCCACTCATGTCTTGAGTTTTTTTATATTGTTAATTTAGTTTGCATTTCGTGTGCACTATTTGCACTGATCAATTTCCCCTATGCATCATCTTGAGGTGCTCTTGGTATTTGGAATTTAAATGCTGTTTGCATTCAAATTGCTAATACCTTGTATCAGACACTGATCACTGAAATGCGCAGACCAGTCAAGCAACCGTGATGGATGAGGGCATTTTAATCGAATTTATATTTATAGAGCACCTTCACTTAAGGCGCTTGAAGTCCAGTTGTTGCTAGCAATGGTTGCTGCACAATTATCTATGGTTTTCCTAGTTCTGGACAAATCAAATAAGCAAACAATATGCCTCTTTCTCACGCCTGTATCTCCACATGGAAGTATTATTTACACATTCCATCAGTCACCCAACCTTCCATCAGTGCATCATTTCATCGGCATTGGTTCAACGTAAGCAAATTCTCAACCAGTTTTGACATTCAGCGTCTCACCAGCAGTCGGGCTTGCTTGAACTAACGCTGGTGACCTGCCAGATGTTTATGGGTAAGGACCCTCTCTGTTGAGCACAATTGGTATTTGTGGTCAGATCTGGTCACATCCTCCAAGTGGGCAAATGGGATGGCAATTTCCATTGAGATCACAGACAAAAGTCACATTACTATCTGAGGTTGTGTTCTATTTAGACCAATCATAGTTCATCAAGCACACTCTGTGACACAATTCTTTGACACTGCCATATAAAATTGCCCTAATTGCGTACAGTAAATGCGTTGGCGGTGACAATTTCCAGCAATGATTGCCCTATATTTGCCCGAGTTTGTTACATCCTATACGCACTGCTGGAGAAGATACCTGTTAGGAAGCACCTATAAAGGGTGCACAGCAGCACACACGAGAAGATGATGTGATCAGCACCCCTACGTTCCTCGGCCATCTGTGTCTCTCTGTTATTGTTGTTGTTGATCACGCTGCGGCATTGGGTACGAATATTCGTCGGCGTCAACCTGAGAGAGATCCCGGGAACAGTTCGGACACATTAGTGTTGTGTGCAGCATTGCCAGGAGTTGAGTCTGGGCATCCCAAGTTCATAGTGCAGTGGAGAGCCAGCTACTATGCCGCCGCAATGTAGACATATACAATCACGTTTAAAAAAAAAAAAACATCAGTATGTGCTAAGTAATAAACTATACATTTGTGCGTCAATTAGCTGAAAAATGCATTTTAAAGCGTTCTGGTTAAAATTTCTAACTTATTTAACCTGTGAGTACGTGTGCCATTAAGAAGGTGAGCGTGACTTTCCCTTCTGCCAGTTATAGCAACAACAACAACAACAACAATAATGCCAATTAATTATTTACTCAGGAAAGACTCACCAGCTAGGCAAGAGATGTTTGGCCCTTCCCATTAAGGGGCGTTGTGTGGAAAGACACCAAGAGTGCCCCATGCCCGTGGTACTCGGCAAGCCCTGATGCTCACCAATGCAATCACTAAACAGGCTCGGAAAGCATTTCCTCATTGGTCGCTTGTCCCTGGCCGGAGCGTAGCAGTCCCCACGAGACACCACCAGGTGACCTCATCTGAGCGCACCGCCACGCTGAGCCAGAGGTCGCAACCGGGTACCCGATACCCGTACCCTACCCGATACCTGGCTACCCGTACTCGGCCGAGTACGGGTACCCGTTTGCGACCCTGGTGCGGCCGGGTACAGGTACGGGTGGGCCGTGAGTCACTGGTAAGAAACCGTTTGTCACTCATTTCCCAACGTCTTGTCTCTTCTCACAATTCAAGTTCCTAGAATCAACCTACCCGCGCCTGCAACATGGCTTCATCCCAGAGGTCGCAATCGGGTACACGATATTCGTACCCTACCCAATACCCGGCCGGGTACGGGTAGCCGGGTATCGGGTAGGGTACGGGTACCCGTTTGCGACCCTGGTGCGGCCAGGTACGGGTAAGGAATCAAAACCCGTTTGCGACCTCTGCGCTGAGCACAGTTCAAGTCGGCCGTGGTGTTTGACGTCGGCCAACTGTGGTCTGCGTTGAAGTTGGCCCCAGGCCTGCGGTAGGCCGTCGATGATGGTGCGCCAGGGCTCTGGTGTGATCGGCCACATTTAGGGTGAGTCCCATGGGGAATTGTTGTGTTTCAGTAAATGTGACCATAATGAAGGCCCTGAATATGCCTTTGACCATCACTCTGAATGCACCCAACTGCAGGGCTGAGCCTGGGTTATCACTTAGATGGCAGACCACCAGGTATTTTTGGAAATTTCCAGGTATTATAGTCTTGAGCTGCGAAGTGGTTAGGAGCCAGCAGTAGAGTGTTAGATTATTGAATGCATCGGGGGCAGAGCTTTGGGTTTTATGCTGATATGCGTGGAGCTACTCTTTTTTTCTCTCCAAGTACTCACCTCCACCCACATGTAAGCCAAACGTCATTCATGGAAGTGGCCAAACATCCCAATGCAGGAGACCCTTCTGAAAGAGATTCGCAAAACTCGGTGAGACCTTGCTGCGTAAAAGACAATGGCGTCGCACGTTTGACCGTTTCCGCGTGCAGGCACAACCAGCAGCAACGGAGCAACCAGCTCATCACAGACACCGCATCATCGCTCCGCCACCTTGCCGATCTCGCCAGAAAATCCACCAAGGCATGCGGGCGCGTTTCGGGCCTCCTTGAAAGCACTCGGGCCCACATTCCCCCATGCTCCCACCAATGCTGTCAATTATTTTACTTGTGGATTGGAGGCTTTATTTTTCCCCCCTCAGTAAATCAACCACCCGTACCTTTGTTGCCTCCGCTGGGCACAAACGCGTGGCTGAATTCTGAAACGGACAAAATGTTCTTCTGTCGGCACGGTTATGACAAGAGACTGGGGGAGAAAATTTGGCCAAACGTTGCAATTCGGACTTGTGACCAGATTGCCACGTTGGTGAAAACACTGAAACACTTGCTATTGTTTTAATGATGAAACAAGTTTGTTGGATTTGTCTCATTGTTGGTGATTAAGACATCGGCGCGTTTTCATGAAATCCTGACAAACATTAACTGGAATCGGTGCCTTTTGTTGAAAAATGTGTAAAATTAACTTGTCAATTTGTGCATCTTGCCCTTTGCCTTGCAGCTGACACCTTCTCAGTCACACTTAGGATTATTATTGTAATAATTATGAATCCTACAATTTCAGGTCATTTCAGATGCTGTAGCATTAAGCCACATTTTGTCAACTATCCTTCCACTTTTTTTCAAAAATTTTCATCGCCAATTCTTATGGAAACTATACAATTTCCATATCTAAATATTTCTGTACCTATTTATGCCAAAACACACACCGTATCCATTTTTAAAAATTAAAACGCAGGTTTTTTACATGGCAGCTGCATTGCTACTTTCTGAAAATTGAAGGACGGCAAGTCAGATGTCAAGATCAATTTATTTTGCTATTACCGGCCAAGGAAATGTATTGTCTTCAGCTGATTGAGGGGGCTTCAAAATCCATCATGACCGACATCATGAGCCAATGATTGAAACCTCTTACTCCTGCCACCAGCAAATGTGCTTTTTGCCCAGCGACCAGCTTAAGTTGCAAAACATGACATTAAAACCCCTCCTGCAGAATGCAGGCTATGCCTAGCCCATTACCGGGTGATGAGTCCTTAGCTTTTAGCGAGGCTCTGTTGACGAATAGGTAGAAGTGTTTCCACCCGCACGTTCGTATCCGCCGCCGACAATGGGGCTAAATCCTCGCTGTCGCATTTTTGTCCTTTACAGCAAGATCGGCTGCAGCTTGACCGCCTCAAGAGCCAGTTTTCAGAGACGCTGAAAAGCTACCAGCAGACGCAGAAGGTGACGTTTCTGAGTGGCGTGTGTTCACATGTGTTACTGCTCGCGTGCGGATTTTGTGTTCCGGCTGGACACTCACTCTCTTTTCCTTCACAAGATGGAAAGAGTTGTTGCCCTGTCTTCTTGGTTCTTTCGGTAAAGTCACGTAGAAGGGAAGTAATAAAATAATAAAAATAAAACATAATAAAATAATTCTCACGACGTTTCGGCCACAACGCAAGCAGCCGTCCTCAGGTGAAACCAGGTCTGTCGAGGCAACAGCGTCTGAATGAAACAGCACACGTGCTTGGAGCATACATATAAGCTGGGTTGGAAGGGGGGGGGGAAGGGGGCGCCTTGACAAAAGAAATTGCATATCAAGAGGAATTTAGCATATTTATGGAAAATGCAGGTATGTGATTAGTACTACTTGTGTCCGTGCATTATGCAGGATTAGCAGCATCCAAGGGAGGGGATAGGGGTAGCATTAATAAAGGGAAGGAGTGTTAATAGTATGTAGCTGCAGTAACTAAAACCACCACGTAAACAACTAAAGTATAAACTACATAGTTGTTGCCCTGATTGCGAATGTTGTCAAGTGCAGCCTGTTCATCGCATAGACAACCACCGCCCATTATACGCTTACACCGGAGGTATGGCCGCTATGCATTTAGCGGACCCCTGATGCCATCCAATGGATTACTGCACGCAACATTCAGTCATAATGTCTTGCCCAGTTGCTTGTCAAGTGCCATACGAATGAGAGAAAAAAAACTCGACACACTTGTCGAAAACAAGGGCCTAAAAGGAAAACAAATCTATGTTTCGTTTTGTTAATTATGCTTGTGCGCCACCAAATAATTAGTTTACGTACGAAAGAGAGATTTATCCCTGCCGCACAAAGCATCCGTGCAATGGAAGCGCTTGTCGTATGCATGTATGTTGAACTTCTTTCGCACCCTACGGAGCAAACCGTGCTCAATTGACAATTTGCTGTGTGTGATTATTAAGGGGGCAATCTGGCTCACCCTACATCAGTCAACAACTGGGAGCGTAAAGCTGCGCTCGTGTATACTGCCGGCGGAGCGGTAGCGCAGTGGACGACCGCTGCCTTCCGACGTTTTATCTCCCGCAGAAAATTTCCCAGAAAACAAAAGAGGTCATCAGCAGCGAGCAGCGAGCGGCCTTCCAGGTGAGCGCATTCAACGTCCCCCGGACTTCATCTTGAAGGGCTCAACTACAGCGCACGTTGAGAGTTTCCCCGACAGTCTGTTAAGGCTATAGGCGGGGGGGCGGGGGTCTTTGTTTTTGTGTGTAATCTCACCAATAACCACAAGGAATAATTCACTCGTAGGACAATCCCCAACTTGTAGTGTGTGGCTACGGGCCTGCATTAGACGCTTCTGTCTGCTGTGCTCTCATCCCTCCGATGGAGACGACGGCGAGGGGCAGGCAGGCTCTGTCTGAGGCTCTGGTTGTGCCAAATGTGGTGGTTAGCAGAGTTCCCAGGATGAGCACGGCTGGGAGAGGAAGAAGATGGTGTCAGCCGAGTCGACAGAGAAACAGCTGACGCACGAGGACCTGGAGGACATCCAAGTGCGGCATGAAGCCATTCAACAACTGGAGGTGCGACCCGTTCATTTGCTCGCTTGTTCGTTCACTCGTTCAAATCTTTAATGCACGCACGCGCATGCACACGCGTACACAGTTCATCACCTGATGTCAATGCTTTCTGTAAAATCAAAGAGACGTATGTATTTGCATGCGATTAATAGCAAATAACTTGACGCTTATTTTACATGACCATATTCGCACAGCAGTTGTTTAGAGAGTATTTGTTCTCTTTCTGCAACACATAACTCAAAATATTAAATATTTCAACGATCGCTAACCACACACACAAACAAAAAAGATCCCCCATATAGCCTAGTAGACTGTTTAAGCTTGCACTGTTAGCAAGCATCTATTAACGACTAACGCACAATGATTCGGAGGACATTGTCATTGGTCAACTCGAGGTGTGACCCATTCATTTATATTCATCTTAATGCCGACTGTTGCATCTTCATCCGTGCAGTCGTGGCACTGTTGAAATATGTACAACTTTCTTGTGGTTTACATAGTCCATAAATGACGAAGACAAAGGTCCCCCTTATAGCCTCATCAGACTGTTGGGGAAAGTGCTGTTAATGAGCACCTAGGAAAGCCGGCACGGCTCGCAAGGGGGTGGGTGACGTGCTGGTTTATGCTCCTTGACGCAAGATCAGCGAGGTGTTGTGGTTCAAATGTGTGTACACCACATTAAACAAATCGTTGGTTCACATGTGGTGGGGTAAAGTGTGTGAGGTACTTTACCGCTGCTACTATTACGCTTTGAGCAGCAAAGGTCCGATAGCCCTCTATCCCGTTTGGTAAATTTTGGTTCCCAAAATCATATCCCTTCGGTGCCAAACTCGCAACAATTGAACTCTCACGAGGGCGAAGACCCAGATAGGCACACTCTCATTCGACAGGCCATAAGATTCTGCGACGGGCGTCTGATTGGCTATTCATATTTTCCAGATGTCGACACTATACAATGCAGCTGCCCCGAAGTTTTGGAATCTACCCAGTTCCGTTTCTTGGCATCTCCATTCTGCCGTCTCCGTCCTCATTTAAATTTACTCGATTAAAATCACTCACGTTTAAGTGTGGTGTGTAATTATGCAACGTAATTTCTAAAATATTTGTTTTTGTAACTGTCCGTCTGTCTGTGTCTGTGCTTTGTCAGAGCGATCTGCTCGATGTGAATTCCATTTTCAAGGACCTCGCTTCCATGGTGCACGAACAAGGCGGCACTATCGGTAACCTCAGTGACTAAACGTTCAGCGAAGTTTTCCGAACGGGGCAAGCACTTTGCATCTCGTTTACCGCCAAGAGCCTCTGGTGGAAAGTCCACATTCAAAAATGATGACCGTTTCAAACTATATTCATTCGTAAACGTAAATACTACTTAGTAATTATAATAATTTACAACCCTTTGTCATCCATAAGAGGTTTTTTTTGGGGTAAATATATATTTAAATATATTTACGCGATCTAACCCAACAAAAAACACATTCCTGCGGAGGGAGCTGGTAGGAACGTTGGGTTGCTCGGTCAATGGCCAGGGTCAACGGCGGCGTGGTGTATTCCGCAAATATGGCCGACTGTGAGGGCGGGCACAAGCCGGCGTGAGTAGGTTAAACGTTGAGTTTTATAAGGGCACCACGGGGTGACCAGCCCCTCCCCACCCAGCCCCTCCCCACCCTCCCCTCCCCACCCAGCCCCTCCCTCCCCACCCAGCCCCTCCCTGCACGACGGACACAATAATCCACTGTCGGCTGGTGTAACCAGGAGGTTCCTACCAGTAAAACCTCTATTATGGATGATAGTGATCGCGAAAACCTACAGATTAAACCCTTTTTCAATGCACTGCTGCGTGAAGGCTTCCCCACACTGTTGTCGGCAATTCGGGTTGTTCGACCATACTTCACCATATTGGTCAATTCGGGTTTGTGAAGGGAAGGGCCAAGAACTATTTCAGAGAACGCTGTTCACTGATATTGACCACAGCTGAGAATCAAACTCGGGTCATCGGGTTCATAGCGCAGCGTCTCACCGACTCTGTCGCCACTCCAAACAAATATTACATCTCAGTGGGTCCAGCGCTGACAGTGTATCGTCCTAGATTTGAAGCTTTCGTGACTGCAAGGATTCATATTCTTAGGTTTTTTTTTTTCGGTAAAGTCACGTAGGTAAAAAAGTTTTAATTAATAAAAGTAAAATAAAAAATAAAATAAAAATCACGACGTTTCGGAGGCAACACAAGCTTCCGTCTTCAGGTGGAACCGTCACAGCACGATAGCTGTATCAAGTGAGAGAAATTCCAAGAAACCAGTCCTTGTATATATACTGGTTGAGGGTGGGAGGAGCCAAGGTAGGCCCTGAATATTATTTTTTAAAACCTAAGAAAATGTATCTTCCGTTATTCATTCTCCAGTAACGCTTTCATTCGTTCTGCCCTGCAGACAGCATAGTTCACCATGTGGAGCGCGCATCTTCGAACGTGGAGGGAGCTAATGAGAACCTCGTAACGGCCAGCAAACACCAGGTTTGGTATACACCAGCAGTGAAACTTTCATTGATTTCTATGCTCGTGATGCACGTGTTTTATATATATAGTTTATTATTGTTCGTTTATCAGTTGAACACGTAGGCTTTCGCGACCAATAATATTCATAATCAACGTTTTTGGGTTTAGATCGCGTTATTTATAAATGTGTCGTAACCCTCCACCAACCGACACGGCCAATCAGTAAAAAAGTGTCACGTTGACAAAAGACAAAATAGTTCACTGCTTTAGCCCACCGGTGTGTTGAAGCGTGAAACCACAACATTTACAATTTGAGTACGACGTTTCGCTGGTAATTGCATCCAACATCATCGGGCAATTCGCCAGAATGGTGAGGCTCTGCTGTGTCTCCCGTTCTTATATAGAGCAGCAGCAGGGTGACGTCATCATTAACTCATTGTTCGTTTATGTCGTATGTGAAAATTAATACTCGACTGAAATCGTGATGGCCGCGCGTTTTGAAGCTTGTCGCAGAGGTCCGAGGTGCTAATCCAGCACCAGCCCCTCGTTATTACTCCCGGTGTAACAGCTGAAATAATAATTTTAAATAATATACGCCTATTGCTTTCACGGTGAACATTAAAGATTCTTTGACGTCATCCGCAAAAAAGGGTCAAAAAAATTGCCAGATCCTAAAATCGCACGCAGATCACTCAATTGGGATTATACGTAGAGCAGTCATCGACCCCGATTGTCAAACTAATGTCCGTTTGCTGGGTAGGTGCCGAGTCAACCTTGTGCCGCAGAGGGACAGCTGCCACTGGGAGTGCCCTTTCAAATGTTTGGGATGAGATGCGATGTAACGAGCTCTGAGATTCCCCGGGCATATTGGGTGCTATATAAAAAACAAACGGTTGCCATCACATTGAATTGCGACAATTCATAGAATTGCCGAGAAGGTGACTCTGGCTATAATGCGCGCACATGCACGCGCATCCAAACTTTCTCGTCAGATGTCACCGCTGCATTCTGAAAAGATGCATATGTTAGTGTGCATTTAATAGTAACTAATGTGATGTTTATTGACATATTCACAAAGTCATTGTATTTGTTCTGTTTCTGCACCACATGACTCAACATGCTCAGTGTATTAAGGGATCACAAACCACACAAAGACAAACATCCTCCATAAAGCCTTGTATTTTTTTGGAGCAATTTTCTGTTTCGCGAGCAGCTAATCAGGACTGAACAGCGCATGAGTGGGTAGTCTGGCCGTGATGATTTTTACACACCACACTAGGTGCTCATTTAAGGCTGAATTGACCTCGGGGAGGTCTAAAACCGTTGCAGCTGTGGCTGGGAATTGAACATCGACTGCCAGGTTCATAGCACATTGAGTTTACCACCATTCCTCACACCACTAACACCGCTAACAGTGACAAAAGATCCCCCATATTGCCGTAATAGACTGTTGGGGCAATGCTGTTAGCACCTATGAAGGTTGGCACGGCACACGAGGGAGTGGGTGGCCGGCTCCACACCCTAACGAACATGCACACACACACACACACACGCAGACCTAAAGCTTTGCACGTCACATTCAATTGTACATGTCCACTTGATCGCAAGTGATACACTGAATACAAGGCATGAGAGGAAACACATCACACGCGAATGCGTCTGTGTTATGATAATACTTCAAGGCTGCACGTTTTAATCATCTCCCTTTCTGTCATTTCAGGCGAAATCTCGCAAGAAGACCTGCTTCATTATTATAGGTGCCATTGTGGTGTTAGGCATCATAGGCTTGATAATTGGCCTGACTGTCAAAAAATAATCTCCCCCCTTAGGTTGCTGCTGCTGCTGCTGATGCTTATTCTTCTCTGGAAAATTAAAGATACAATTTTTGTAAAGTACCTTCTGACAACATGCGTGTTGAACTTCTTTCACACCATACGTAGCCGACCGCGTTAATCGGAGGTGCGGGGTAAGGACAACAAACTAAACACAAAAAGCAGTTTTGAAGAAATGAGTTTTCAATCTAGATTTTTTAAAGTGCATCGCTCCACAACCAATGTTATGATTCGTAATTATTCTTTTGGGGTAAAATGCCAATGTGTTGTACACCCTCCACCACCCGGCAAAGTCACGTGAACAAACGCACCAATCTTCTTGGTTCTTTCGGTAAAGTCACATAGAAGGGAAGTAATAAAATAATAAAAATAAAAAATAACAAAATGGTGTTAAAAATAAAACATAACAAAATGGTGTTATGTTTTATTTTTATTATTTCATTACTTCCCTTCTACGTGACTTTACCGAAAGAACCAAGAAGATGAATCCCTGCAGTCATGAAAGCTTTAAATCGAAACGCAACAATGTTATCAACGCTTCAGCAGTACCTCCGGTGCGTTGGAGTACAACATGTTGTGGATTGCTCTCGACACAACGGCGACACGTGTGACGGCATTATTTATTTGGCTGTGTCGGGTGAAGGAGGTTATACTCTCGTGGCGATCTGACCCAAAACATGAATTATGGGTCAAAGTTCCTCCTGCAAAACATGTGCTTGCAGGCTTAGCAATAAGATGATACGATACGTTGATTTTGTATACTGCTTGTTTTTTTTTATGTCTCGTTTTCGGATATTATGACAACAATGGTACACTATCAAAGTAAGAGTCTTGCACTAGATATTTTAACAAAAATCCTGCTATCAGAATCATTGGATAAGGTCGGAATTAGTGGGTGATTGCGAGGCGATGCCCAGGGCAAGATAAGAAGCATCTGCGGCCCTTTTCTTTTGCTTATAGAACCCAAACCCTGTGGAACTGTCACCGCCTCAGATATGAGGGACTGCCCGACCATCCAAAGCTTTAAATAAGTAAATAATAACGTTTCCCTGTTCAAGTTGGCATTTAGAGATGACGTTTAAAATAGCTTTACCAAATGAATTGTTTTCGAGTCACCTATTTAATGTATTTTTAAATTGCATGGTATTAATGTCTTATTTGGAGAATAATAATTTATGCACAAGGGACCGTGGTTTGAAGAAAGGTGCCTTTAAATAAATAAACGTTGACTGATATTCCCCACTAATATAAACATTGAGGTTGTGTACAATTGTCGATCGTGACGATTGCCCCTTAAGCGATGCATCCTGAACTCGCAACGATCTGAGGTTAAAGTGGCACACGTGAAGAGTGTCATAGGTATTGTACTACAATTTATAAGTACTGTACTAAAAGTGATAAGTACTGTGTCAACATGCTAACAGTTATAAGAATAGGTTTTACCCTTTCTGGCAATAAAACAGTTGTGTTAAGATGTTTAAACACCAAACAGAAACCTTTTGCAAGGAATCTTGTCTGCATTAACCACATATACTTGTCGTGAACATGCAAACACAAAAACATGCTCTGGTAGTGGATGATGCATTGTCTTTGAAACTGATTGGTCCACACCAGAGACAGCTTTCTTTAGAGCCTCGTCTCAAACGGTGTTAGACCAGAGGACGCCAAAAGGCGAACAGAAAGGGTAAAACCTATTCTTATCTATTGATACTGGCAAAGGAGGTCCCATGATGTGCTAATATATTGATCTGAATGAAAGAGATGATTAACCCTAACCCGTTTCATTGTGCCATTTTTTCCCTATGCCATTTCTACCACGCCAATTTTTCCAACGCAGTTTTCATCACAAACACGGTCTCTTAACTCCTTACGACATGTCGCTCCGTCTTTCTTTGCGTTTTTTAAACGAACCCGTGTCGGATATCGCAGTGATGCACGGACAATATTTATCCTGTAATAGACGCCGCGTGTGTACGCGTATATGTCTCAGCGGGTGGCTCAAGCACAGCAAGTTGGCACAGTAGGGGGCAGAGGTGGTGCATCAGACACTCATCTCAATCAGTCGACCCGTGGCACCTGCTGGGTCTGTCCCGTGACCTCCTGCCAGCGGGCGTTCGACACTTCACGTGGCCTCAATGTGCACATGGCCTGGCACAAGCGTCGTGGTGACGTCACCGCCACTTAGTGGCGAATTGCGGTTGTTGTTGAGTGATTGTGTGCGGTTTTGTGTGATGGGGTGTGGTGGGGTGTGGGTGTGTCAGTCGACCCCGACCCTCAGTAAGTCGACCTGTGGCACCTGCTGGGTCTGCCCCGTGACCTGCCAGCGGGCAGTCGACACTTCACGTGGCCTCAAGGTGCACATAGCCTGGCACAAGTGTCGTGGTGACATCACCGCCACTTAGTGGCGAATGGCAGCTGTTGTTGTTGTCTCAGCGTGTCCTGGGGAGCGTTGGCGCTGTGGTCAGCATGCTGCGTTACTAACCCGGCGACCCGAGTTCGATTGCCGCTGGTCTTGGGCCTCCCCTAGGTCGACTCGGCCTCAAATTAGTACCTGGCGCGGTGTGTAAACATCGCCACTGGGGAGACAAAGGCGGCCGGAACGTGCTCAGGTGTGTGGGCTCGGAGATAAGAGAAACACTCTTACAGGAAACCACGTCTTGAGACTGCACGAGCGGTCAATGCTGACTCACACTGAAGTCACGAAGCGAAGGTGTGTTTTTATCTGCGGGTTGTGTGTCCTGTGGGAGGAAGTACGTACGCACGTGTGTGGGTGTTTGTGTACGTGCCTGCATGTGTGGCACACTCGGCTTCAAAGGAGTACCTGGTTGCGGTGTGTAAACAATGCCACTGGGGAGACAAAGGTGGCCGGGCGTGGTGCTGGCTACGTACTTCTTCGTGTACGATGCCAGCCTTCGAGTAATCAGAATTTATTAAAGCCCCCCTAAACACTCGTTCTCAGGGCGCTATGCATGGCGGGGCGGAAAATAGTTTAACATCAAGCAGGTGAAGAAGAAACGAGAAAGACTTTTCGATGTAAAGCTTTCGTGACTGCAGGGATTCATCTTCTTGGTTCTTTCGGTAAAGTCACGTAGAAGGGAAATAATAAAATAAAAATACAATAATATAATATAATTATTTATTATGTTTTATTTGTATTATTGTGACTTTACCGAAAGAACCAAGAAGAAGCGAGAAAGACATTTGAAGATAACTAAAAAGAGAAAGCAATCTCGACTAAAAACAGATGCGTTTTTAGTCGAGATGTCAAGATTTGTGAAATGTCTCGGAAGTCCCCTGACCTCGAAGGGGCAGGGAGTTCCCGAGTTCAGGGGCCGCAACTGCAAAGGCGCCGTCATCTCCCAAGTTCAAGTTCATGTATTAGGTGTATAGCCCTGTGAGCCATTCGGCTCTTGAATCGGGTGCAACCGCAACAAACAAAAACATGAACAAAAAACATCTTAAAGTGAATATGTGACTAAGTGCAAACAGAAAATCCAAGAAAAGAGAGCAAAATATTGCAGAAAAAAAACACCGTACACAAGTGTGGAGCCGAGAGGCCGTGGGACTGAGCAACGCACACTCGTAGAGGATCTTGATGGAATCTATCACTGAAGGAGGTCATGAATGTAGGGAGGAGCAAGTCCATTTAAGGCCTTGAACACGGGCAAGAGAATCTTAAAATCAATACGGGTACGGAGAGGAACAACAGGTGTGGTGTGATCCAAGGCCGTAGCCATGGAGTCAACAGTGGGGGGGACCCAAATCTTCCTGGGGTCCCCCCCCAGAAAAAAAATCTAAATTTGCAAACGAATTTCGTGAGTGATGTTAATTATCGGGACGTATAACAAAACGTGTTTTAGTTAATATTAAACATATTACGTTGATGTAAAATGTATATTGATTTTGTGAGTGTGTGTGTTGGACTGGTGGTTTTGTGTGCACCTGGTTTTGGAATTTCATCCATCTTTCGCATGACGGGGAAAGCTTACAATGGGACGTCTAGTTTGGTGTTCTACTGCTCAGTGGCTTCCTGAGATGCCAAGTGGAGGAATGAAGCGCCTTCCGTAAGATGTTCATTGCCTCGCCTGGTACACAGGAGGTCGTGGGTTCAATCCCGACCGCTGTACTACAGTATAGTTGGAGTTTGCATGTCTCTCTCCCCGCGGTCGCGTGGATTTTCCTCTGGGTCCTCCGGTTTTTCCCTCCACATTTAGAAGCGTGCGTTTAAGAGTATTTGGCTGCTATAAATTTCCACGTGATTAGCCACTTCGTTGAGCTATCATTTGTGGCCAGCTCGCTTCTGAAAAAGAGCTACCTCGCTCAGTGGGCCTTACCCTGGTAAAACAAAACAAATAGTTTTAGTTTAGTATGTTTGTTGAACGTTGGCATCGAACAAAGACGGTCACCGCATCGCGCACTTTCAGATGCGCTTCGGCGGCCGTCTGGAATGCTCTTCCGATATTAGCAAGCCACTGAGCTATGCACTTTTAAATCTATATTGGAAACTCATTTCTTTAGAACAGATTTTTGTGTTCGGTTTGTTCTTTCCCCGCACCTCCGATTTGCGCGGTTAGCTACGTACGGTGCGAAAGAAGTTCATCACGTCGCCAGCCGTGTTAATCGGAGCCGCGCTTGCCGTCGTCTTCCGCTTGCGAAGCAGGTGGTCGCGTTATGGCCCGTGTCCCGTGCTGACTCGGTTAAGTGCTCTCCAATTACACCATGGGAAACTCATTTGCCAGTAAAAATATGATAATTGTTTTTTTTACCCTTCTATCTGGCAACAAAACTGACACCTTTTTACAAGGAGTCATGTTTGCATAGACCGCAATACCTGCAGTCATAATACAAACAAAAGACATAACTCTGATAATGTGCACTGTCCTTGAAGTTGATTGGTCCACACCCGAGACAGCTTTCCTTAGAGCCTAGTCATCTGGTCCAACCCATGTGAGATTAGGCTCTAAGGAAAGCTGTCTCGGGTGTGGACCAATCAACTTTAAGGACAGTGCACCTTATCAGAGTTATGTCTTTTGTTTGTATTATGACTGCAGGTATTGCGGTCTATGCAAACATGACTCCTTGTAAAAAGGTGTCAGTTTTGTTGCCAGATAGAAGGGTAAAAAAAACAATTATGCTCTCCACTTGTTTTCGAGGGAGGTTCATGCCAGGGGACCTGTTTTGTTGGGTTATTCAGAGGAGAGACAACAATGACGATGGCTGGCTTACCCCTGGGTTGGCAACAGAACGTTGCAGGTGACCAAGTTGTCACTGCAGAATGCTGTCACATTCCACAAGCGGCGATTTGTGTTTAACAGATAAAGGCGCAGCCCTGCAATTTCTTACGCACGCCACTGCTTGCGGAATGGCCTCCATCGGAGAGAGCTGCGTAAAGCCCCTCTAGAGGGTGTGTTGGCCTACTCTTCCACGTTGGTCAGACGTCTTCAAAAAAAATTCGTATGTACACTGCAATCTTTAACCTCTCGTGCATGTGGTAATAAACACGTGTAAGAGACATTGGCTTACAAATACCAAGGTGATTAAAATGCCATTGATGTGAGTTTTAATATTAAAACTTAACAATAACCCTCTTCTTGGTTCTTTCGGTAAAGTCACGTAGAAGGGAAGTAATAAAATAATAAAAATAAAACATAATAAAACAATTCTCACGACGTTTCGGCCACAACGCAAGCAGCCGTCCTCAGGTGAAAACCAGGTCCGTCGAGGCGACAGAGTCTGAATGAAACAGCACACGGGCTTAGAGCATATATATAAGCTGGGCGCATTGACAAAGGAATTTGCATATCAACAGGAATTTAGCATATTTATGGGAAATGCAGGAATGTAATTAGTACTGCATATGCATGTACATTATGCAGGATTAACAGCATCAAAGGGAGCTGCAGTTACTGCTGCTGCAGCAGTTGCTGCTGCTGCTGCATTTTCTGCTGCTGCTGCAGTTGCTGCTGCTGCAGTTGATGCTGCTGCTGCACTTGCTGCTGCTGCACTTGCTGCTGCTGCTGCAGTTGCTGCCTTATCCATTTTAATATAACACTATGTATTATTCTACCCACCCTAATGTGTATCATACTGCTATATGTTTACGGTACAATTACGACACCATACATTACTCTGCACACTGCACCATGCCAGTGAGTGGAACGCGGTCTGAAAGTCACCGTAAACGTGAACACAATCAGTTAAGATCCGAAATGGTTTATTACGTCCTTCCAATGATTGCTAAGCCAGAATCCATCTTCTCGGTTGAAATTGTCTCTGTGTTTGTATATGTGGATCGCCTCATGAACGAATCTCTCATGATAGCCAGATGGCTTGCAGAGAACCTCTGTCTTGGAGAAGTCAATGTCATGTGAGCCCACTGAATTGTAACAGTGATCTGCCACGGCTGAGGTGTTTGTCCTACCGTGTTTCAGGTCTGCCTTATGTTCACGGATGCGGTCCGAGACATGTCGTTTGGTTTCTCCAATGTAACTGCTACCACAGAGGGAACTTAGTTTGTAGACGCCAGGGTACTGTATGTCTGGAACCACATCTTTTACAGACGGGACCAGATCACGGATTTTATGTACTGTGTTGAATCGGACCTGGATCTTGTGTTTAATCAGGATTTTGGAGATCTTTTTTGTGACCCCAGCAATGTAGGGTAAGGTGATGGTCTTGAAAGGCTCCTCAACAGGATCCTTCTTGATGGTTGGAGTGATGGCTTTGCGGATTGTGTAGTCGGAGTAACCATTAGCCTTAAGAGCTTGGCGTACGTGTTTGAGTTCACTGGAAATGTGTTCATGGTCGGAGATGCATTGGGCTCTATGATATAGAGTCTTGATGAGGGAATTCTTCTGGGATGGATGGTGGTGGGAATCCGGTTTTAGATAAGCATCCGTGTGGGTGGCTTTCCTGTAGACAGAGTGGCTCATTGAACCATCAGGTCTCCTTTTGATTAGGACATCCAAAAAGGGTAGCTTGCCATCATTTTCGACTTCCATGGTGAATCTGATGGCTGGGTGTATGGAATTGATG